AGTACAACGATTGAAATTTCTTTTGAGAGCCAAATTTTTTAAACTGAAACTATATAGGTAGGTACATTGTTATTAACTTAATTAAGGTACTCCTAAGGCTTACAAAGAGCTACACTCAAGGGGCCAAAGAGCCACATGTGGCTCGAGAGCCGCAGTTTGCCAACCAAGGGATGGTGGTGAGGATTAAATGAAGGGATGTGCAGGTGTGCGGGGCCTGGTCACAGGAGTTGGGTGGATGGTGGCCAGTGACAATGTGAACACTGCACTTGAGCTAAAGCAGTGGTTCTCAACCTTCTGGCCCTTTAAACACAGTTCCTCGTGTTGTGACCCCCAACCATAAAATTATTTTCGTTGCTACTTCATAACTGCAATGTTGCTACTGTTATGAATCGTAATGTAAATATCTGATATGCAGGATGGTCTTAGGCGACCCCCTGTGAAAGGGTCGTTCAACCGCCAAAGGGGTTGCAACCCACAGGTTGGGAACCGCTGTTCTAGAGCAAGCATGTCAAACTCTCAGCCCGCAGGCCACATGCGGCCCACACCGAACATTTTTGCAGCCCAGCCAAAATAACGGTGTGAGCAGTTATTTACAATTATGAAAGGAAATAAGTCTCCTGTCAGATCCAGAATTGCTGACATTCACCTTGGGTCAGTTTTGAAAGTAATCACTGCAAACGAGATTTCCCCCCAAACAAAGTAGGAAAGATAGTAGCAGAGAAGAGATGCCAAGTGTCAGGAAGAAAACATTAATTTTATCATGGCTCTTGTTCTTTTTTTATACTATACTTTTTGAAATAAGCCTACGTTTCTATGAAAATTGAAGCTTTTGTTTTTTGGGGGCCCACATAAACTTAAACCTTGTTTATATGGCCCTGTTAGCCTTTGAGTTTGACATGCTGGTTCTAGAGCAGCCGTGGGCAAACTACGGCCCTCGGGCCAGATCCGGCCCGTTTGAAATGAATAAAACTAAAAAAAAAAAAAAAAAAAGACCGTACCCTTTTATGTAATGATGTTTACTTTGAATTTATATTAGTTCACACAAACACCCCATCCATGCTTTTGTTCCGGCCCTCCGGTCCAGTTTAAGAACCCATTGTGGCCCTCGAGTCAAAAAGTTTGCCCACCCCTGGTCTAGAGTCTCCTTACAGCAGAGCCCAGCAGTGTGAGTTCGGTGGGGTGGGGGCAGACAGGCTTGGGTCATATTCTCCTTCAACGTTCAGTACTGTATTCTGGGGCAGGTTCCAGAACTAGTGAATTGGTAGGTGTCCAAATGTCAGGAGGCATTTTAAGAGTGATCTGATAAGGGGATTATGAATTTACTTGGTGCAAATTTCAGAAAACCAAATTCAAAATGGTAATAAGGGGGTTATCTCACATAACAATGGAACAGTTGGGAAGAGTCAGGGCTCCCCAAAGTCAACAGTGTCATCAGAAAGCCGGGAAGGGACTTTCCCAGCTTTAATCTCTGACACCCTCAGCAGAGGGCAGGCTAGTCCCTCCTGTGGGCAGGCAGCTGGAGAAGCTTCCAGAATCACAGCCTCATATCCTGACAGCCAGAAACAGGGAAAAGGCTACCTCCACTTTATGTCTCCCTTTAAAAAAAAAACAAACAAACAAAAAAAACTTTATTTATTTATTTTATTTTTTCCTTATCCAAGGATTTGTTTTTATTGATTTTAGAGAGAGGGAGAGGGAAACAAACAAACAAACAAAAAACAGCAGTGTGAGGGAAGATCATTGATCGCTTGCCTCCCATACACACCCCAATGGGGGAACAAACCCACAACCTAGGTATGTGCCCTGACGGGAAATCGAACCTACAACCTGGGTGATGCTCCAACTACCAAGCCACCCGGCCAGAGTCTGTGTCTCTTCCTGAGTTAAGAAACTCTTCTCAGGAGCCCCTTTCCTCGGCACACTTGCCCTCTCATTGGGGTGATGTGCCCCTGAATTGGGCTTCTTACCCCTTTATCTTAAGCAAATTAATAGCATAGGGGTTGGATTATCACGGCGGGATTAGATCCATCTACTAGTAGATCTATCCCCACTCTCTTCCCCTGGCTGGGGCTGGGGTTGCTTCTGTCCTGGACAAGGCTGGGCAAAGGAGAGGAGCAGCTACATTAAATGGGACCCCTGCCAGGAAATAAGCGAGAGTGGATTGGGAACAAGCCAAAGTGTTTTAAAAGGCGATATGGTAGCCAGTGCGAGATGAACCTCAGTGCCCAGAGCTGTTGGCTTAGAGCAGTGGTTCTAAACCTTCCTAATGCCACGACCCTTTAATACAGTTCCTCGTGTTGTGGTGACCCCCAACCATAAAATTATTTTCGTTGCTACTCCATAACTGTAATTTTGCTACTGTTAGGAATCGTAATGTAAATATCTGATATGCAGGATGTAAAGGGTGTCCCAAAATTCACGCAAGAAGTAATTTTGATAGAAAACACAGG